TGGAGCACACAGCAAGCAGCAATAACAATGGGGATATTGGTTTGGCTGAGGTCTGACCGAGTCAGTAACGAGCGCCAGCGACCTTTTAAACGGCCAAATGCACATTCTACCACCATTCTGCACTTGCTCAGCCTGTAGTTGAACAGCTCCTGACTCCTGTCCAGGCTGCCTGTGTATGGCTTCATGAGCCATGGCATTAAGGGGTAGGCTGGGTCCCCAAGGATAACTATAGGCATTTCAACATCCCCAACGGTTATTTTCTGGTCCGGGAAGTAAGTCCCTTGCTGCAGCCGTTTAAACAGAGTAGTGTTCCTGAAGACGCGAGCATCATGAACCCTTCCCGGCCAGCCCACGTTGATGTTGGTGAAACGTCCCTTGTGATCCACAAGTGCTTGCAGCACCATTGAAAAGTACCCCTTGCGGTTTATGTACTGGGTACCCTGGTGCTCCGGTGCCAAGATAGGGATATGGGTTCCATCTATCGCCCCACCACAGTTAGGGAATCCCATTGCGGCAAAGCCATCCACTATGACCTGCACATTTCCCAGAGTCACTACCTTTCGTAGCAGCAGCTCAGTGATTGCTTTGGCTACTTGCATCACAGCAGCCCCCACAGTAGATTTGCCCACTCCAAATTGATTCCCGACTGACCGGTAGCTGTCTGGCATTGCAAGCTTCCACAGGGCTATCGCCACTCGCTTCTCAACTGTGAGGGCTGCTCTCATCTTGGTATTCTGGCGCTTCAGGGCAGGGGAAAGCAAGTCACAAAGTTCCATGAAAGTGCCCTTACGCATGCGAAAGTTTCGCAGCCACTGGGAATCGTCCCACACCTGCAACACTATGCGGTCCCACCAGTCTGTGCTTGTTTCCCGGGCCCAGAATCGGCGTTCCATGCCTATAACCTGCCCCATTAACAGCATGATCTCCAAAGCACTGGGGCCCGCGGTTTGATAGAATTCCATGTCCATGTCCTCATCACTCTCGCCGCCGCGCTGCCGTAGCCTACTCCTCACCACCTGGTTTTGCACGTTCTGGTTCAGCATAAACTGCACAATAACGCGCGAGGTGTTTACAATGTTCATGACTGTTGTCTTGAGCTGAGCGGGCTCTATGCTTGCCGTGATATGGCGTCTGCACTGTTCACCCAGGAAAAAGGCACGAAACGGTTGTCTGCCGTTGCTTCCCTGGAGGGGGGGAGGACGTACCCAGAACCAACCGCGACAATGTTTTTGGCCCCATCAGCCATTGGGATCTCAACCCAGAATTCCAATGGGCGGAGGAGACTGCGGGAACTATGGGATAGCTACCCACAGTGCAACTCTCCGGAAATCGACGCTAGCCCCGGTACATGGACGCACACCGCCGAATTAATGTGCTTAGTGTGGCCGCATACATTCGACTTTATACAATCTGTTTCCAAAATTCGAATTATATAAATTTGGATTAATCCCATAGTGTAGACATACCCTTAGCTTTTGTATATATAGTAATGTAATATAATGTAATGTAATGTATCTTGGTATTTAACAGGACCAGACACCTTTGCTTTATGTCCCATTGGGAAGCTAGGAGTCTCCCCTTTCCAATAGCTTAGAGCTCTAGGTTGTAGGTCATGAGGTCTTTATCCCTATACAGATCTGAGTATGGACCAGAGCAGTTTTGGGAGAGAGAGGGAGAAGGAGACATTTTTGTGGCAGTTTTTTTAACAATATGGTGACTGAAGCTGCTCAGGGATTTAGCTATTTGCAATTAATTCTTTAATGCTATCTAAACCTACATAGGAGAGATTGAGGAGGAATTGCCAAGAGCTGTATTTTGCTCTGTGGGACTTTATTAGTAGTAAAAAATCTAGTCTTTAATTTTGAGACTTGAGCTGATGGAAGCCAAATCCTCTGTCATATAAACCTTATTTTCTCTTGAGACTAAACACTGGTGGTGAAGTTTCCCTTTTATAGAGGCATGCTGATATTTCTGATGAAGTTGTGGCACAAAGAAGTAAACAAATAAAATAAAACATTTGAAATCATCAGATCACTCTGAAGGGAAACCCTTAAAGGACTCTGGAGGAAGCCTCATTTTAATCTCCTTAACCAGATGGGTAGTATTAAACAGGAAAATATTACGGTGATTTTTCATGGCTCTTGAATACCTCCTTCCCTCCCCTAAATGCTTCACACTCACTCTTCATTAAAATATGGCAATTTCTGGGGATTGAGCAGTTTAGGGAATTGTCCTGGAGAGACAGATCTTTCCCTTTCTTGATCACTATTTCAACCTCAAGTAAGTATTAACAAAATCCATTGCCATTTGGCAGCTCCATGGTGACCTGCGTTCAGTGATACTCTAGAGTCGCAGGAAGAGCACAGAACAATGGAATGTTGGTTTGTACAGTTGCTATTTTACACACTCATGAGTTATTATTTTAAAATTTATTGGTAGATTATGTTTTCGTGCGTAGTTTACTTTCCTGGAGGCATTCCTTATTATATCCATTTTAAGTTGGCTTAAATTTGGGGCCTGTCATCCCAGTGATTGCTGTATGTATTATCTGAAGAAAAGTTTTGTGGAAGTTGCTTGACAAAATGTACATGGACATTCAAGCAAGCTCATTTTGATATCATCCTGGTTGTCAGTTTGAATTGCTTTATTATTTTTTTAGATGGGATTCAATTAAACTGAAGTAATTAAATTGTCTTGTAAATATAGACCTTAATTTGATTTGGCAATACAGCAAACCCTGAATAAGTCAACATAGAGAAGCTTGTATGATTTAGATTGTAATCTATGTAAATCAAGATTTTCCCCATTTGGACCTAGTTTTCTTATTAGCAGGGCTCAGACTACTAATTTTCTTTTATATATTTAGTGATATGGAGACACTTTAATGCAAGTGCTGTATGCAGTGATACAAAATAATGGTCCAAATTCATCTCTAGTATAACTTCAGCGACTTCGGTTTATTCATAGGTGCTGGAACTAGGAGTTCTGGGGGTGCTGCCACACCTCTTGGCTTGAAGTGGTTTCCATTATATATAGGGTTTACCGTTTGGTTCAAAGCGACAAAGAGTCCTGTGGCACCTTATAGACTAACAGACGTATTGGAGCATAAGCTTTCGTGGGTGAATACCCACTTCGTCAGACGTTTGGTTCAGTAGGTCTCAGCACCCCCACTATAAAAATTGTTCCAACACCCCTGACTGATTTATACTAAAAAGAATTTGGCCCATTATATTTAAAATAGAAAAGGAAACTACATTTAAAAATATTTTCAACTCATGGTTAAGCTGTAAATTTAAATTTGGGCTTTTATCTATCAAATTTACTCTTAAGGTGCAGATATAAGTTAAATAGTAAATGTTGCCTGTGAAGGAAAGAACTATTGTGTTTGTGCCTTTTTTCCCCCCCGACTCATGTAGTATGAGAAAGGCCTGACAGCTTTTTTAAAATTAAAAATATATATCTATATTTTCTGTTTTACAAATGGGTCCCAGAGCTTGGGCTCCAGCCCAAGCCCAGCAGTCTACACAGCAATGAAACAGCCCTGGAGCCCAAGCCCTGTGAGACCAAGTTGGCTGGCATGGGCCAGCTGCGGGTTTTTCATTGCAGTGTAGACATACCTATAGCGTAAGATGCTAATAAGATATTGTCTACACACAATTTGAGCACCAATTTGACTAAATAGCTTTAAAATTGATTTAGTGAAACTAGTGCAGGCCTTTTATATGGAGACTCTTATTTCAGATTAAGAGTGCCCTATTTTGATTTACCTTAAATTGGTAAAGAACTGATTTAAGCAAAATTGTTACAGGAATACGAATATGAAATAATTGCCCAATGAAGGGAGTTACACTGATTTCACTAAATTAGTTTCTAAACTGATATAGTGAAATCAGAGCTCATGCTGTGTGTAGACCACCCTAAGTGCGATCAGAATCTGCCCCTTTGTGAAAGATTTAACATTCTTGTCCCTTCAAATGAGGGCTGAGAAAGTTCCTGCTGCTCTAGTCCCTCCCGCAAAAACAGGGAAGGCAAGGCTGGATATTCCTGATATTTCTAGAAAAAACTAGCAAACACAAAACAAAACACATTTCAGAACTCCTTTGCACATCATAATGAAGAAAAAGAATGCAAATATAAGGGGCTAAATCTCCAGCTAGTGTAAATCAGCACACAGCCACTTCAAGGGAGCTATGCCTACCTGTACCAGCTGAGGATCTGGTCCAATGTTTTTTCCCAGTTTGCAGATCACCTTCAAATACCTCCCTGTCTTCAGTGGAAAATGTTCATGTGGAATGTTTTTGCATGTCTGGTACCTTTTCATTAGATCTTATGTCTATTTTTAATTGAGAAAATGGGTTCATTCTTATTTGTAAAGGTTTATGAAAGTTGATTTTAAACTCAGGATCAGCATGACTATCTAATGTAAAAATATTTACATGTCTTGTCTCTCTAGCCATGTCTCATGTCTTGTGTTTGAAATTGCAATGAACTTTTTAAAATAAATGAGTAAAGTAGGATTATTACAGGTATCATCATAATATTCTAAAACAAATCTTGGTCACCCAACCATAGGTCAGCACATGCGGACGTGTTATGAAAAGACACAGTTTTCCATCCCATCATGAAGCATATTAACCTTAGTAGCTAAATACTCCTACGAAACTTTGAAACTCTCTCTTCTTGTATCCAATCCAAAATCCATTGAAGTGAATGGAAAAAATCCCGTGGACTGCAGTAGAGTTGGATTGTGCCCTATGTAGGGCCAAACTCAGACATCATTATTCAGTTCTTACTCTTTTCTCAAGAAGAACTCTCACTGATTCAGTTGTCACTAAAATCAGTAAGAATTTTGCTTGAATGAAGACATCAGAGGAGTTACTCTAGATTTTCATCAATGTAATGAGATTAGAATCAGACCCAAAGAGTGCACATCTGTACAAGTAAATCATTTAATTGTTGTTTCTACAACCAAAGTAATAATTTCCTGTCCTCTTATGCAGGCTTTGCTGGAGGTAGTTAATGACCTCTTTGAGGAACAGACAGACTTAGAGAAAATTGTTAAGAAAATCATGCATCGAGCCCAGACTCTGTTGAAGTGTGAACGATGCTCAGTGTTACTCCTGGAAGACATTGAATCACCAGTAAGTGGTCCTTCAAATTTTAGAGAAGGTCTAATACATGAGTGGTATAATGTCTGTTTTTATTATGATGAGGCTTTTACATATAAAATGTAAGTACCGTATTGCACAGTGAATGTTTTTCAATATATAGTTCTTATTTTAAGTTATATAGATTTCATATTTATTTTTGTCAAGGCAAAACCACACCATCTGTTTATAGTCCCTTTTGCTCACCTAAAGATATTTACTGTAGTCACGCCAAGTTCTTTACGACTTCAAGAGGAGTGATCCAGTTATAGTTGCCTATTTGTTTTTGTTTGTTTGGGGTTTTTTTTGAGACCCCCGGTCCCTGCGTGATGGTAGCAGCATTTAACTGAGAAGCAAACTGCTATTCTGGTGTGGCTATAAAAACAATTAAGATGGATTAAAAGCATTTGTCTTCTGTTTTCTTTTTCTCCACAATGCAATTGCTCTAAGGAAAAAATCTGTCTTTGTTGTATCATCTTCCTGAAACTCACTGCTAAAATTGTCATTTTTGAAAATATCTTACTGAATTGGTGGTGCTTGAAAGCAGCCTTAATATACAGAACCAGTTCCAGAGAACCATAAACCAGTTATTTAATGTGCATCTTTTAGAACCTAGTTCGTTCTGCATGCATTTCAGCAAATAGTCACTAAATGCCTTTGTAACTATTTTTGTAGTTTTTCATCTTTTATTTTTGTTCAAATGTAAATTCACAAATATTTCCCTGAATCCTTAAGTATTTTCTGTTCAAATAGACAACATTTGGGTTTTTTGTGGGGGAGGGGTGCATGTGTGTGTGAACATTTAATCACATAATCACATAATCATGTTGCTGTTGCCCTGAGGCTACAGCGTTCTACACCTCTATTGCGTCCCTCCTGTCTGGGGGTGCTCCATCTCCATTCTCTCCTGTTCTCTTTTGTCCCATCCACATTTTCCTCTGTGTAGAAAAGTGGGAGAGGGACAGTGGAGCTAGGCTGTGTCCTCTTTGCACACACATCCAGTGGAACAGCACTGGATCTGTTGAATCTGGGGACTTTCATAGCCACAGAGGAGGCAGCAGGACTGGCCCCTACATTCTCTAAACATTTCATTTGACTGGCAGTTTCTGGAATTGTAAGTGGGGTAAGAGTTAAAGATACATGTTTCTTTCTGAGCCCATATGTAAATGTATTATTAATTATTATTGTTATTACTGTGATTCTGGAAAATAGCCTGTTGGATGGGATACATGCCATCGTGTTCTTTCAGGGATGTGAGCTGCAGATAAACTCCTGGCAAACATTCAAATTTGTGTCACTGGAGATGGCATTAATTGTAGCTTGGAACAGCCCATGGTAATACAATGTGGGTATTACTTATAAAAAAGCCATGTTTATCTGAAGTTCATATATCAAGAAAAGATGGTGCAATGGGGAATATTCTGTCCACTTATCAAAGGAATAATGATTCTACTCTAAAGTTATGTTAAAGACCATGAGGTTAACAATATAAAAGTTCTTATCAAGAATTTGATTTCATGCACCATTTCAGCCTGTGCCTTTACAGAATCTCTGCAACACTGACATTTGCAGACTACTGAACATTTCTTTAAGGATGTACGCTGGTTCTTTGTAAGTCTGATAATTGGGCATCTCTGCAAGGTCTGTGAATCATAACTCCAATACACTGGAGGAAATATAAGTCATTGAGGCACCTGGTGCCAGCTGTTTAAAGCCAGAAATATTCTCTATAGGCCATAACATGCCATCAGCTGTTAAGAACAATTCCCTACTGAAATTAACCAATTGATTTAAATGGGAAGTTATACTTAAAAGTTGTTGACACTATCTGGCCACATTACATATATTAGAGGAAGTTCAGTTGGAGTTAATCTGGTCAACTGATGTTGTGTTTCTCCTCTGATTATTTTTGGTTGTTTTACAGATTATTTAGCTGCTTCAGTTATGGGCTGTGATAGAATGAAGAGCTGGTCCTTTGAAGTCATTGGGAGTCTCTCTCTATGCTGTAGCAAAACATTTTAGGAAAAATACTATTTTGGGAAAGAGTATGAAAAAATCAATTGAGTATCTTTATAGTTTGCTTATGTTCTGTATTGCAGTGTAAATTTTGAACATGAATAGTCCACCTGAGGAATGTGCGATTGAACATTCAGTCTAAGATCCCTGGCTAAAAATATAATTAATATATAAAACATTACATTGCTGCTGACTACGTATGTAATTTTTCATGAAAAATCCCAAGTTCAGATAGAATGATTTTTTTTAATATGACAGGTGGTGAAGTTTACAAAATCCTTTGAGTTGCTGTCTCCAAAATGCAGTGCTGATGCTGAGAACAGGTTAGAACTCATCTTCTATGGGAATGGATTGATGGTTATGTCATAGTGATTTACAGATGTTTGCTCTATTAAACCTTAGTATATTTTCTTATGACACACTGGACTGATTTGATTAAAATCAGCCTGATCCTGCACTTTTTATCCGGGCAAAACTCCCATTTATTTCCAAGGGAGTATTGCTTGAATAAGGCTCCACATCTACATACTGCCTTTGTGTCATTGTGCGCTGCTGATGAGCCAGGGAAGATCTGATGTTCCTTTATTGTTCATGAAGAACACTACCCAATTTATAGTGACAGAGATTTTGCTTTGCTTGGTGAGTATCAAAGTAAAAATAATTTAATACTGCTGTATTTTATTTATGGAATGATTTCAGATTTGTGCTTCATTGATTGAATGTAAAATGTTTTACTGCAGTAGTGTCAAAGGGTTGGCCATCAGACTGTTTTTATTTCTGACCCCCGCTGAAAGGGAAAAACATACAAACCTCTTGAAATGCATGATAGTGAGATGGTAAATATGTGTGGCTGAATGCCAACTGGAAACCCTTCTAAATGTATACCAGAATCCAGCCTTACTTTCTAAACTTATCTGTAAACCTGATCTTGATAAAAAATAATTAATAGATTGGAAACAGTAGTGCAAACAGATGTTTTTTGCATAACCAAGGCTACTTTCCAAGTGCCCAGCCCTGCAAAGTACTGAGTGTTCCTTGTGAGTGTTCATTGATCCTCTAAAGGCCCCAAGAAACCAACTGATTGAATGGGAATTCAGAGGTATCATTGAAAGATTAAAGTTGAGTCCTAAAACTGAATCTTATCCCAAAAATTCCATTGAAAGCAGTTTGTACAGATTTTGAAATTTATATTAGGAATATAATATGAATGCTACAAAAAAACCTCAGTTTCTATCCTGCTAACAATAACTTGGCAGGCAGAGTAGAGATATGGTTTGTATACATGCACTCAAAACAATACAAAGTTGCTAAATCTAATTTTATGCCCTACCAGCTTTGACGCTGCCCTTTTAAGAATACACTAAACTAAAATTCACTGTTCTTAATGCTGTACTACTTCACTTCCAAAACTGTAAGGAGAGATCCCACTCATAGCTACCACATTGATTAGAAGCATTATAGGTTAGATAATTATAATGATAGTGCTTAGTACTTTATGAAAAATATTTTATCCATAGATCTCAAAGTGCTTTACAAAAGATGGGTAGTATTATATCATCCTCATTTTATGGTTGGGGAACCTGAGGATCAGAAGGGTTCATGTGGCCTTGCCCAAGGCCACATGAAGTCAGATGCAGAGGCAGGAATGGAATCTAGGTCTCCTAACTCCCATCTGTGCCCTATCCACCATCAGAGAGGGATGGGATAGAAGAAGCAAGGAGTAAAAGGAAAATGAGCAATAAGAAATGAGAATGCTCGGTGTATGAACAGTTCACTCGCTAGTTCATGTGAGAATTATAAATTATTGCTTTTGATCAGGAGCCTTAGAATAGCAATGGCTCTTTTCTAAAACAGTTAATGGGGAGGAAGGGTGTCTGTGTTAAAGCATGGGATCAGGACTCAGGACAAAGGATTCTATTCCTCATTGTGCCTCAGATTTATGTTTTGGCCTAGACAAGTCATTCAGTCCCTTCCACATTTGTATGTGAAGAGGAGCCTGTGCCATGGAAGGAAGGAGTTCCAGCTCTGTGGCAAGCAATCTCATGTCCCAGAGGGTTCCAGTTTTGCAAAGGAACTGAAGATGGGGTAGTGAGCAGGCCAGCCTCCTGACGGTTCTCACCTCAGTTCTTGGTTGTTTTATCTTGCACTGCACTCCCCTTCACACTCTGGGACATCCCATTCAGGGTGGGATTTAGAGGAAGCCACAGTAGAGTTCGCCCTAGATGCATGCTTTGTAGGCGCTGTGCTGGATTGTAGGATTGGGTCCATAATTTGTTGTGTGTCTGTGCCAGTACATAGAGGGTAGCAGAGATTCTTACTTCAAACTTTTGATATAAAATTTCAGAAGTTGCTATAGAATATATTGACACATTTTCTGATGCTGTTGCTTATATATGATTGAGTCAAGAGTAACTTCATTTTAATCTAAGCTATGTGAATGAGCACATGCATGCATGGTATCAGTTTTTTCAACATACATACAGGTCTGTCTCATCTTATGCGGGGGTTCCGTTCCGCAGTTAGCGCGTAAAGCGAAAACCGCGTATAGCCAAAATCCCATTGAGTTCAATGGCGGGCGAAATCGCCTGCACTACAGGTATAGTATTAAAATTGTTGTTTTTCTCTTTTTTGTTTTTTGTTTGTTTTTTGTTTTTGCTGACCGCGCAAAGTTGAAATCGCGCATGTTAAATGCGCATAAGATGCGACAGACCTGTAGTTGTGTATGCCCATGTAGCTCAGATTAGCAAGCCCTGTATCTCTAGTATAAAAAATGTCATTACTTTAATCGTTATTCTGCGTGGAGAGCCAGGCTGGGTTTGCAAAGGTCAGTTCTAGACTGGCAGTTAGCGTGCCACATTTAGATCTGCACTGTAATCCTAGCATACACACACAAATTAGTTGCATTTCAATAGGGAAATAAAGGTTATTTGGGATACAAAACAATGCCCAAAGCCCTTGACATTTGAACATTATTTCCAATGACATTTGCCCTTTTCAGTCTAGATTCTGCAGTTCTTATTCAGGAAAACTCCTACTGATTTAGAATCACTGGGCGTTATGCCTGAATGAAAACTGCAAAATCAGGTGGTTCATCGTGACGTTAGTGAAGATATGTACCATTATCTGAAACTGTAGCAGGGAGCCATGCAGACTGTGAAGTAGGGAAAGTACTAGGCAGAAACTCCACAGTGAAGCAGGGTGGCTCCAGGGATAATATAGCTTTCCAAATTCTAATACATTTCCTTTTTTATTGTTAGAAGAAATGGACTTTTTTACCTTTGTCAACTGTTACTTCCCTAAATATTGCCATGGTGAAACAACCCTGATTATCAGTAAATATTTTCCTTGCTTCATATCTTTTTTTCTCTGCAGTTATTTGCAAAGAAATAGCCTTGGAGACCACGTTTTCTTTGTGTTCATCACCTGTTTGATTTGTCAGTTTCTCACATACTACATTGTTGGTTTCTATTTATGAATAATCACAATGATATATTCACACTCTCATTTCTAACAGTCATTTCATTCTTAAAGTGCAAGTTTTGCTAAATGTTTCTAATTTCCCTCCCCCTTTTAAAAAGTATCAAATTTTCTTTTATTCACATTACTAACACCTTTTTAAAAGTCCTGAAGGCTCAATGCTCATCTGTGCTGAGTTTAGGCTTGATGAAGATGAGATGCAGGGAAGGTGGCTTTAAGACATCTTTTTACTCCTCCTATCCGAGGATCTGAAATGGCTTGTGGCATAATTTAGAGCAGCCAAAGGGCTGCTTAAAGTTACGGGGGCTGTGATAGTCCCATACAATCCCACACTCTCACAGCAGTTTTGTGCACTCAGCCCTGTCCCTGGTACTCCCTCCTCCTATGTGGAGAAAGTGAGGAGCGGGTGGCATAGAGTTTCCTAAGCCAACCCTGCATTACTCAAGAATTTCCCTGTCGGGGGAACCTTGGCTGCCCATTTAGGGCAGCTTCCCATTTGCTTGTGCTGTTGAGTCCGAGGGTTGAGCCTCTTGATTTAAATTTACACCAGAAATAAATACTGAGATTCTTCCTCCTAAAATCTCAGTCGCTTTCTTCATAGAGTATCTGTAAAACATTTGCTGGTGATGTAGACAACATGCTTTTAAAACTTCACCCTGAATTATGTCTAGTTTCTTTAACTTGAAATTGTATGCTGCTTCAAATGCTTGACACCCATAATCCAGTACGGATTTAATCAGCCTCACATATAATAATAATGTCCAGATTTTAATCTTTGCTGTAAGTCTTACAATTCTACCAATTTTATGATGGTTGTTTTTTTTTTTAAAGATACACACCAAGTGCTCTGCATCTGTAATTAGAATTTTACCCTAAAAGGTTCTTTTCCTCTCAGGTCTGTGATGCCCCTGGAATAAATCTTAAATTATTTAACTAAATTTTGTACTTATCTTTGAAATATTAAAGTATCAGTTTAGATTGCTGTCAAAATATTTACTATATAATTTATTTGATTCACTCAAAATTCTTGTCCCAAATGAAAATTGTTAATCTTCTCCTTTTTTCAAAGCATCTCTATTTATAACTTTGCTGAACATTTTTAACATTCCTTTGAAAGAGGCAACTTCTATGAATTACTCTGCAGAAAATTAGCATAGCCAACTAAATCAATCCTCTCTCATTGACTGAGACATCCAGCTGTTTTGATACTGTATTGCCCCAAAATTGCTTGTTATTTCTCAAGGGAACTCGAGTACCTTTGTTCTTTAAAAATGCTTTTTAACCGTTGAAAATTAGACAGTTATCACTTCAAATCTGAGATGACTTGCATTTATTTTGGCATTTATAAATAGCTGCCCATTACCTAGGTCATGATCCTGCTCCCAATGAGTCAGAATGAATTTTGCTATTGACTAGATGAGGAATAGGATCAGATCATTTTAGACTTCTGCAGAGTGGGTGTAAAAGGGTGGTGAATCAGGCCCACGATTCTGATATCCTGTGCCAGTTTTGCTGCCAGTTTTGCAGCCTTTAGGCTAGCTGTGGCAGAGAGTCAACCTTGAAAAGGAATAGCATTTTCCTATTATATGTCTGTAGATTCTCATTGCTTCAACACTCATGTTATCTATTCATGATTCCTTATCCATGTGCCCCACACAACTGAGTTCACAACTGCATATCAATATTACAAAAATGTGACACTCCACAATATAATATTTTCACCATTTCTGCCAGTGCTGAGTGCAAGAAATAATGTCAACACAGAAAATAATAAAAAATACAAAAAAATATTTAATTGATTCCTTTTATTTATTAGACTAATTGAAAAAAAAACCCCTACAGATAATACATTTTTAGTTACCTCACTAAAAGTGATCATTTACAAGTTGCTCTTTTTTGTAAGCAGATTTCTGCACAAAAAGGAGCCTTGAAATAATTCTACTTCCTGATCTGTATATAATTGGAACTCTTTACTGAGAATCATATATAATTAATCACAGTGGGTCAATCACCTCCTCTGCCTGGAAAAAAAAAAACAGTGAAAGGAAGGGTTGGGAAACTGTTGAATTTTCATAAAGGCTAAACTTAAAAGAAATACAAGCATATTAAAGTATGGAAATGCACAGCTAAGGCACCAAACAGTTTTAATTCTGATGTAATTAAAAAAATGTGAAAAATCATCTATTGTATCTTTAAAAATCTGGTTAATCTAATCTGAGACCACAAGCAACAATATTCATCAACTATAATTGTATTATTGCACGGCATCAGTACTGGGCAGAGTTAAGGGCACCCACCTATGTATTTCCAGATCTTAACATGTCTGAATTTCTTTTAAGTTTAACCTTAACTCCAAATTTAATTGCTTTAGAAAGCTTGTTTTGAGGATAATTACAGCATCCCTGTGTTTTTTATCCAAATCATTGATAGGTTCTCTCAAAAATAACTTCATCATATAGTAGTTTTTATCTGGGAACATAAGTAGAATTCCATTAAGTCTCTGATAGACATTTTGCTGTATGGACAAATTGTACCATTTTTCTTAATTTTGTAGAGACCTGATTCTTAAACAATGTATTCTTTAAACAATTTATTTATTCTTTTAAATAATAGAATATGTATGACATGTTCCATAACATTATAAAATAACACTTTCCTTCTGGGAAAATATTCATTTAAAAGAGAAAAGATATACACTTGACACTTCCCAGGATTGAGCCTTTAGTAATTTCCTGGGACTGAGGCTGTGCAAATTTCTCCTTTCTCTGAGCTTTGACACATATTTTACAATACTAGCTGAAGTGAAATTAAGTCAATGTCCTAATAATTAAAAAAAATCTTCAGTGATAGATTTCTTGTTACTATATTAGCTTGCAGTATTTCTCTTGATGGGGGAAAATAGTTGAATAATTTATTGAAAAAACTGACATTCACATTTTTAGCTATATATTGCTTTATTTGTAATTTTGTAGTTGATCCAGATTTCTATTTACATTTGGAATCACATTAATAGTTCTCTTCATGAAGTAAAGGGACCCAGAACCTAAGAAATACAAGGACCAAGATTTTCAAGAGTGACTAGTGATTTTTGGTTGCCTTGAAGGGACCTGATTTTCAGGGAGCTTTGCTCAGCACTTGCTGAAAACCCCTTAAACCCACTTAAGATTTTTCAGGTTGGGTAACAAAAAGTGATGCACCTAAACTAACTGGTTGTTTTTTAAAGTATCATCCAGAGTGTTTAATGAATTTACAATTTCTGATAACCAGTGACTCGATCCTGCAACCCTCTCACTCACATGAACAGGGCTTACATGAGTAATCCTGTTGAAGACAGTGGGTGAAATCCTGGCTCTATGGAAGTCAGTGGTAGTTTTGCCAGTAACTTCAGTGGGGCAAGGATTTTACCCAATGAGACTATTTATGCAAGTGATGGTTTCTGGAATTAGAAAAGGGCTTACAGGAGAGGGCCCTGGTATAACTGCTCTTTCACCATGTTCAAGACTAGGGGCTTGTCTAAACAAACACTTAACTTGCGGCAGGAGGGGATTCAAAGCAGGGTAGATCAAGGTGCATGACGGAACTTTGAGCGTTTGGCAGCAGCGTGCACATGATCACTTACTGCGGGGTAAGCTAATGCGATAGATTCAAACCCAGTTTGGTGTGAACAAAGTGTTAATTTAGAAAAGTCCAGACATTTCTGAGTTAGATGTTCTGATAGTTGCCTATTATTCTGTGGTTGCTGTCATTTAGCAGTTTGTTATAGCTATAGATAATTCTGATGTTAAAATGACTATACATGGTGGGCTTTCAAGCAACATTGATTGTATTCTTTTCTTCCCTTGCTGTACCTTTATGATAGTTTCAAAGACAGTATGGAGAAATCATCATCTTATTCTGACTGGCTAATAAATAATAGCATTGCTGAGCTAGTAGCTTCCACGGGTCTTCCAGTGAACATCAGTGATGCATATCAGGATCCTCGCTTTGATGCTGAAGTAAGATTTCTTAAAAATTTAAATACACTGTCATATTTTTGCAGTTCAGAATAATAAAAGTCAAGCAAGTCCAAATGAATATAACACGTAAGAACATTTGTTCTGAATTATCTTTTTCTATCCAGTATGTCCTCTATTTGTCCTTTCAGCAGCAGCATGCCTTGAAGCTCTTGACAGAAAGATAGCAAAGGCAGTTTTATCTAGGGATACAGCACTGTTCCTACTTATACTTATAGGCAATTACTTCACCTTCTGTGCCTTATTTTTCCAATCAGTAAACTGGGGATAATGATGCCTTCCTTTAGAAAGTGCTTTGAGATCTATGAAAGCTAATTATTGTTGAAAATTCTACCATTGATAGTTCTTTATGTTCCCCATTAGCAGAATCATAGTTGGTAGTTATCGGAGATATTGGGACTATACACTGAATGTAAACAGGAGCTGCAGTAATATGATCTCAAAAGACAAATGGGTTTTGTGGTCCTACTTAGCAAACCAATGTTATTCCAGTATGTTTTTACAAATAAAATATACACAGTGGGCTAATTTTTTTCCTCTTAGATACTTGCATGCAACTTCCAGTGAAGCCAATGGGAGTTGTATATGCATATCCCAGAGCACAGTTTCACCTGCTGGGGTTGGGGAACAGGCAGCAAACACCACTTTTGACAGAATTTGTCAGCACTGGGTTACTTTCCTAAGTTTGACAGGACCCAAGAACCAAACTGTCCCCTGAATGGGTTATTCCTGCTTACTGGACTGGGAATCCTAGGAGTTTTGACTCACAGAGTTTCACAATGATCAAACCCTCCTTTCTGGGCAGACAGGAGATTTTGTCCCCCTATGGAATTCATGGGGGTTTGGCCCACAAACTCTCCTGAGAGCCCACAGAGATGAGGGCCATCCAAACAGTGTTCTTGGGCTTCTGCACTACTTCCCAGCCCCATTGGCCTCCTAAGCAAAGCAGTGTTTCTACAGGAGCTGTTCCGATGCTCTCAAACCTCATTCAGGGATGAGGGAACTGACATAAATAAATGCCTGCGGGGTGGGGATTAATTAATACTAAGATCCCTCATGGAACTGGTAGTGGGAATAGCAGCTTACCTCCTGGCCTGGTCAAAGGCCAGTCCCTGCAAAACAGCCACAGAGGTCAACAGGGTCAGTGCTTCCCACTTCTGCTCTATCCCACTCAGACTAGCTGCTTTTTGCATGCTTTCACTGGCAGAGAAATGGGCAGGCATTATCTGTGTGCAGATTGTTTCTGAGGACCAAGCCCTATCTGTACTGGGGGAGGGATAAGCCCCTGTACATCCCTTGGGAACAATGAGCTATCAACTCCCTGGCTCTAATTTTTTCAAAAATGCCTGAACACCCACAATTCTAATGGAAGTCAATTGGAGCTGCAAGTGCCTAGCATCTCTGAAAATCATGCCTCAGTTTCCACAACTCACAAATCATAACTCAGTTTTCACTCCATGTAGGGAATGCTTCGGCTCGGAGTTTTCTTGTTATTGGTTGAGTTGCAATATAGAAACTCCTTTTCTGCTATATACTCACGTAGGATTCTGACAATGTCAGATTTGGAATATTTCAAGTTATCATTCCAGTCTCAGCTTAAATTTAAACAACTGGGTCACAGTGAGCTATGGACAGAGAGGCAAATTCCACCCTGAATTGTATCCCTTGCACCACCATTACTTTAGTGGATTTGCCTTGGGGATGGCCAATGGGTTTAGAGTAAATCAGTGCATAATTCTAGCCAGTGAGCCTCTTAAACTACATTACTACAATGAGCACACTTTCAAAGAACCTTCCATTTTGACAGTTTCCATTGGTTCCAGTGGTACTCCCCATTTCATGTATAGGGAAGAGCTGTCAAACCAGCAGAATCTGCCAAAACAGAAAAGTACTTAAAGTGTGCACCCGCTGCACTAGTTTATGGGAAACTATGCTATTCAGAATTTCAGAAAGTACAATTAAGGCTTGGGGAATATTTCCTGTCAAAGAGATATACTGAAGTAGAACACGTCATATTCTTGATGTCTCTGCAGTCATACTTTTAATATGCCATGCTCTGATTAATAATGCAGCCATCTCATATTTGTTTCAAACTTACTTAAAGTCTATGCCAGTAAGAGATACTGACTAACATATAGGAGAAGAATTATGCGAATTACCAAATATAAAGGGCAATAATTATTTTCTGTTGGTATTGTCATAAAAATTTATTACAACTGGCATTGTGAATTAAACAATGATTTCTGGAGACAATCAAGTGTATTAAAAAAAAAAGGACACCATCACTCCTTATTACTAAAATAAAACATGCTTTTGTATTTGTAATCACATATTCTATTCTTCTGTCTCTACTACTGTTATAAAAATTCTCTTTCCTCCACACTAATTTTTATTTTTAAATGAAATTCTGATGCTTCATTGTCAAATCACTTTCACTGAACATTTAGTACTGAGGTATTTTCATTAAGCTTAGTTTAAGATCTACATCAAGATCTGCAAAAAAACAGACAATAAATAAAATCTAGCAGTTCTGCCCCCCCCCCCCCCCTGAAAAGCTGCATTATATTGAAATGGGCCTTACGAAGCTCCATCTTATAGAATTTTACAACATGGAACAAAAAGAATATATGTAACTTATATTTGATTTCTATCTAAATGCATATGTTTTAGATCTTGCACATGTGAGATTATATATTGACTCACATACTAGTATGAACTAATACAAAAAGGAGGCCGTTTTTATATATTACATTCCATATACTTATGTTACATTTTTTAAAATAACATGCTACCTGGGAATATTAAACAAGTTGTCCACAAGGTGATCACTTTCAATTTTAATTACCCCACCACAGGGGTTCTGGAACAATTTGTATAGTGGGGGTGCTCAGAGCCATTGAACCAAACTGTAAACCCTGTATATGATGGAAACCACTTCAAGCCAGGGGTGTGGCAGCATCCCAGCACCCCTAGTTCCAGCACCTATGCACCACCACTATTTTGAAAGGGAAAAAAAATCACAATTTTGGAGAATAATATATCAACAATATAGAAAAAAAAGTTAAAAACAGAAAATGCTATTGGGACCAAATTCAGCATTGGTGTAAGTGTTCATCTCAGTTGAGTTCAACTGAATTGTGCTAGGCTGGCCCAGTTATATAAATTTGTACTCAAACATACAGCCTTCTGCATCTTGATGGTATTTCTAGCCTAATGTTTTTCCTAAATTTTTTTGTATTTTACAAGAAGTAAATGGAAGAATATGGTTAGGTAACTGGTAAAACATGACAATCATGAGGGACTGAATTTCGTTGTTAGTTATGATCAATGTTTGATTGTATGAGAGGTTTGGAAATGCAGCTGGTGATCTGAGTTCAGTATTTTGCACATATTCCTTCCGCTTAAATATAATTACCCATTTCTTCACAGAAGAGCCATAAGACTAATAGGGCTATGTCCTATCATAGATTTTATGTGGGACTCCCCATTGATTTCAATCAGACGTTCCATATATGTATTGATGGGAGGATATGACTCTTAATAGTAAACTGAATTGCTTCACACTCTTCCAGATGGCAGTTCCTCCAAGTCCTCAGTTGGAGGTCATTATAGAATCAGTATACAGCTGCTCACATGGCAGCCTTTGGAACTGCAGCATCTGAGAAGGCATCTGTTCCCAGTACATTGCTTCCTTACAGAATTGTAACCTTTGCTCCTCAAACTCCTCTTATTTGTAGTCTGTCACCATTTCCCCCGTTGTGGGTTTTACAACAGCACCAGAAACACCTCCTGATCTCTACCTTTGGCTGAGAGCTGCAGCCGGTCTCAGCCCACCCTGTTCACCCCCTTCAACCTCTCTTCAGAGTTTGAAGAATCGCTTGCATCCCTTGGGACGTCTTGCAGCACTAACTCCAAAGAACAGCATAGAAAATGGAGAATCCATGGCATTAAAAGTACATTGCAAAGCTTCATATCACAGTATATTACCTCAAAACAAGTGGGGAGGCAAAAGGTCTTTTCTGAATTACAGGTGACATCTACATAGGAAATCTCACCTCCTCATTTTTGATCACAGCCCTCAGTTCCTCCTGAAATTTGCCTTCTTCTCCCACCCAATTCCCAGCTCACTTCTTGCCTTACCTCTGCAAATCTTAAACTATACGTCCCCTCTCTTGCTTATTGGCTGTTTTTGAAACCAACATCAGATTAACTCTTCGGGGAGGGCACCACACCTCTCTTCTGAACCCATTTGGCAGGTGATTCATATTCCCTTTCCTAAGCCACCAATATATTTGACCCATGAGTGATCTCCTCTTGGTATAGCCCTTCCTTGAAACTGTTCTATTCAGCTATTATCCAAATGACAGGGCATTATCCCAGTCATGTTTAGTCCTTAGTTCAAATCAAGAACCAAACATTGTAAGCTCTCTGAGGCACACGCTGTGTTTTCATATATGTTAAGACAATTTCTAATACAGGCCCTGATTCAACCAATACTTTGGGCAAAGCCCTGCTTGCTTTACTCATGCAAGTAATCCTACTATAGATTAGGCATCAATAGGCGTTTTTACTGAATTAGGCCTGCAGGATTTGACCCATGTGGAATTAAACTAATTTGTAACTATGAGCTTGTTGAAGTCCTCCTTGATGTTACTATTAGCGGGACATCAGAGGACTACAATTAGCTTACCCAAATACTGTACCGATGGCTAAAGTTCTCATTTTTTACATCCTAGGCTGACCAGTTTTCTGGCTTTCACATAAGGTCTGTTCTTTGTGTTCCTATATGGAATAGCAACCACCAAATAATTGGTAAGATATTTCACATAACTAAGTTCAGCATTATTGTGCTCATATGAATTTACTTCTGTTTTTTTAATTGTGTTCCTTTTTCTTCTGTTTCCCAGCTGAATATTGTTAAGCAGTTATGATACCTAGGAGGCATACTAAGTATCCAAGAAGGAACATTTTTTGACTTGGATACTGTATGGACTGTTTTTCAGCTTTCCAATTGCTTCATTGTTATATTACTTTTGTGTGCACAGTTTGGGCAATTGTTGGTCTGATCCTGAAAGGTGCTCCATGGAGTCTATACAGATTAGACAAATAATTACCTGATTTTTTTCACACAAAAAGGGAGGCCCTGTAAAATTATGGGACTATAAATGATCATAGCTCAATTGAAGTCAATGCAGTGATGACCGTTTACAGCAGCTGAGGCTCTGGCCCATGGCCCCATATGTTATGGTAGTAAACAAATAGAGTTGAGAGTGGTAAGTACGTTGCAGATGTGATGTGCACTCATCACATTACAGGGCCAGGCCTTGTCTGCTTAAGCAACCAATACAAACATAGTAATTGTGCCTTTTAAAAACTGTGGTTCATGATGTTTGTTGCATAGCAAGAGACAAAAGAGAAATTCATTGATACATTTTACAATATTTTGTGAGGGCTATAAGTAAATAGAAGGAATAGTCTTTCACAAAGGAATTTAATATTGACTCATGTAGAGCCACCAGCTTTTAATAGTTTTTCCCTACAAGTTGCTTAATAGAATTGGGTATTCATTGACTCAGTAAATGGTTGGGCCAGTTTTTGGGGGAAAGAGATTCATATATGTGGGTCATGGTAAATTAGCTAAGAGTTAAGAATGAAGGCACTGATTCAGCAAGTTACATAGGCATGTGCCCTGAAGTCTATGGGACTACTTATGTGCCTAAAGTTTGTCAAATATTAAGTACCTTGCTGAATCAGGGTATTAATCTCTCACACAAAGCATTGAGTAATACCATGTAGACTGCCAATATTATACTTGCACAACAGACAAAACAGCTAACAGTAGTAAACTGAATCATGTCATCAAAACAAAACAAACAATGAGACTATTGCTATTTGCTATTACTATTTTTCATAATTAATTATTTGGAGTTTTGCTTTAGAGTTGGAAAAATATTGTAATTAGTAATGAACAGAATTTCTGCATTATGAATGAATCTACATTAAAAGCTTTGTCTTTTAACTTTCTAAAGGGGTAGCTCAAGTGTTGAACAGGCTTGATGGGAAACCCTTTGATGATGCTGATCAGCGATTATTTGAGGTAAGATGTACTTAACTTTGCAACAATTCTGTACTCTGCCAGCATAAATTCTATATTTCTAGATACTGAGGGTTGTTTAAGCCTAACTTGCAAGGAAAAGGCTTGCACTGTCTATATTCCTTATCAGCAGATTCTCCATTGATACATTTGGATTCTAGCTTATTGTAAGTGGCAGCTGTTTGAGAGAGGCCACCACTCCATGCCCTGTTTCATCTTTCTCACCATTAATCAACAAACAGAAAAAAGATCTTATTCTGACCCTGATCTGCAATGGAATAGGATAAAACTAGAGATAGATTCTGAGCAACAAAGTTGGAATTCTGATATGAATTCCTCCAAAAATTGGGGAGTTCAGACATGGGGTTTGGCACATCTATAAACAAAAAATAAATAATAAGGATTAAAACCATTGTTACTTGATTGTATTTAAATTGGATAATTATTTAACTATCCTCTCGAGCATCTCTCAGATCTAATTTCTTTGTTTCCTGTAGGTAGCAATTGTAACTATTCACTATAAGAGTGCCATGTATAAAAGTGTTTTGGTATGTTTGTGGCCAAATTAAGAGGGTATATAATTTATTTATGTGTATTGCTGTAGCATTCAAATGCTTCATTCAGGACCAGAGTCCCATTGCACTTTGACCTATACAAAGACACAGGACAACATGGCTTGTTACATGTATGCAGGTTTTTTGAGCACACAATTACTTAAACATACTAGATTAGCTTTCTGCATTGTTTTTAATGTGGGATAATATTTTATGGAAGTAGCACCCAAAAGTACTTTGTCAGTCTTCCAGTCCCTGTACAATACTGGGAGGGATGACAAACATGGCATATATGGTTTTGCACACCATCATAGTTATTGTATGTTTGTCAATCGTGGTTCACTTAAGGCCAAATCTTGGTCCAGTTCCAAGACTCCAAGTAAGAGTGAGATTTGGCCCATATTATGTCAAGAGATTACTCATTTTAGCTTGAGAAACAGGTCAGGTGTTATATTTGGAGCGCCTCACGGAAAGCAGGCTGTTTTGAAAATACAGTTACCTAAACAGATTCTTCTCATAATTATTTATCATACAGAACAGCTTTACTGACCTGTATTCTCCAGCTAGCATGCCCTTAACTAAATACAATTATTTCTATAATGTATCTGTTTTCTAGTTTACTCCTCATCCTGTTGTTTCAAACATCTAAAACAGCATTCATCTTTGTGTTGTTATTTTAAATGAATTATTTCTTTTTAGGCTTTTGTTATTTTTTGTGGCCTGGGCATCAACAACACAATAATGTATGACCAAGTGAAGAAATCTTGGGCAAAGCAATCCGTGGCTCTTGATGTAAGTATATGATCAAAGTATTCAAACACTCTCTGTAAATCATTTTTGTCATAAACATATCATACATAAAAGGTCATTCTGCTGCAGAATTTATCACAGTGAACTTTGTAGTTAGCTTCATTTTCTAAATATACAGTTCTGTCTGCTTAGAATTCTCGTTTCATTAGGGGAGATTATGTGGGGTACATTTATTATAATGAACCTAATCTTCAGTTTGTTTAAATTAGTGTACCTCAAAAGAATCCTCCAGTTGCAATGTACATATACCAGCTAAGTATTGAGCTGATAAAGGCATACAGTTGTGTTGTGATTCACAGAAGTAAAAAAGGATCTGGTCCCAGCTCTGAGGAGCTTACAGTCTAAATCAGACAAACCCAGGAAATGGTGAGAAAGGAGAGAAAGGAGAAACAACATTTCAAAAAATAATAAAAGTAATGAGAGTCATGTTATGTTGTGAATGAAGCCTATATATTCCCATCCAGTGAGGAGAGAAATAAATAGCACCAAAGTAGCGGTCACCTGTAGGAAGTAAGGTGGAAAAAAGTGAGTTTTGAGCAGGGATTTGAAAGAAGAGAGTGAAAATCCTTGGGGCACTGGAAAAGGGAGGTTAAGTATACACATGGGGTGGGGGGAGGAGGGTGGGGGGAAATGTCAGGATTTCTTTGTTTTACTTCCAGTTCACAGTTGGATCAGAAGAGTGCAGTTACTGAAAATTTGTAGAACTTGATATACCACCCAATTGTGAGTAGTTTTTTGTTTTTAAACTTATTGTATGTAATGAAAAAGGCAGAGCAACTGGGGAAAATTCTGAAGGGAAGAGCTGAGGTATCATATATATCATTAGTACTTTTAGCTTCATGAGGCGAAATCTGTAGAAATCTTTCTTTCACAGTTATATCCATTATTGGAATAAAGTGAGGGCCTGCCAGAGCTGAGGTCTGATACTTCAAGAAAACCACATTTTCTCTACTAAAGGTCAAGGCTAGATAATGAAAGTTCTTTCTAGTTCTGCTACTTGGCCCGGTCTACACTACAGGGTTAGGTCGAATTTAGCTGCGTTAGGTCGATTTATAATGAATGTGTCTACACAAGCAACCCCATTCTGTCGTCCTAAAGGGCTCTTAAAATCGACTTCTGTACTACTCCCCGGCAAGGGGAGTAGCGCTAAAATTGCTGGATCGAATTTGGGGTAGTGCGGACGCAAATTGATGTTATTGACCTCCGGGAGCTATCCCAGAGTGGCCCAATGTGACCGCTCTGGACAGCACTTTCAACTCCGATGCACAAGCCAGGTACACAGGAAAAGCCCTGGGAACTTTTGAATTTCATTTCCTGTTTGGTCAGTGTGGCGAGCTCAGCAGCACAGGTGACCATGCAGTACCCCCAGAATCGCAAACGAGCTCCAGCATGGAGCATACAGGAGACACTGGATCTGATTGCTGTATGGGGAGAAGATTCTGTGCAGGCAGAACTCCGATCAAAAAGAAGAAATGCTAATATATATGCCAAAATTGCACAGGGCATGATGGACAGAGGCTACAACAGGGACACACAGCAGTGCCGCGTGAAAGTCAAGGAGCTCAGGCAAGCCTACCAAAAGACAAAGGAGGCAAATGTTCGCTCTGGGTCAGAGCCCCATATATGCCGCTTCTATGATCAGCTGCATGGCATTCTAGAGGGGGACCGTACCACTACCCAGGGGCGGCTCTATGTATTTTGCCGCCCCAAGCACGGCAGTCAGGCGGCTTTCGGCGGCATGCCTGTGGGAGGTCCGCCGGTCCCACGCCTTCGGCGTACCCGCTGCCGAATTGCCGCCAAAATCGCAGGACCGGCGGACCTCCCGCAGGCACGCCACCGAAGGCAGCCCGACTGCCGCCCTCACGGCGACCGGCAGGCCACCCCCCGCAGCTTGCCGCCCCAGGCACGCGCTTGCTGCGCTGGTGCCTGGAGCCGCCCCTGCCACTACCCCACCACTGTCCGTGGACACCTGCAAGGGGGGAGTCTCACGCAACATGGAGGAGGATTTTGTGGATGAGGAGGAGGAGGAGGAGAATGCGCAGCAGGCAAGCGGTGAATCTGTTCTCCCTGGCAGCCACAACCTTTTCATCACCCTGGAGCCAATACCCTCCCAAGGTGGGATCCCCGACCCTAAAGGTGGAGAAGGCACCTCTGGTGAGTGCACATTTGTAACTACATTACAGGGTTTAAAAGCAATGGTGTTTAATGTTTGATTTGCCCTGAAGACTTGGGATGCATTCGCAGCCAGTACAGCTACTGGAAAAGTCTGTTAACGTGTCTGGGGATGGAGTGGGAATCCTCCAGGGACATCTCCATGAAGCTCTTCTGGAGGTACTCTGAAAGCCTTTGCAGAAGGTTTCTGGGGAGGGCTGCCTTATTTCGTCCTCCACGGTAGGACACTTTACCACGCCAAGCCAGTAACAAGTAGTCTGGAATCATTGCAGCACAAAGCATGGCAGCGAATGGTCCTGAGTTTTGGTTGCATTCAAGCAACATTCGGTCTATATCTTTCTGTTAGCCTCAGGAGAGCGGTATCATTCATGGTCACCTGGTTGAAATAGAGGAATTTTTGTAAGGGAAAAGTAAAAGGACTCCGTTCATGCTGGGCTGTTTGCACTCGGTTAAAAGGGATCATCCCTGAGAATAGCCACGCGGCGGGGGGAGGGGTGAAGGGATCATCCCAAATAGCCACGCGGAGGCATGGGGGGAGGTGTGTGCTGCACATCCACCCGAAAACCACAGCCCCTCCTTTTAAATGGCAAACCCAACCGGCATTGCTTACTATGGGAAAGGAGGGCGCTGCAGTTTGAAAACATTCCCACGTGTTATGAAGGCAAACCCGTGTACTCTTTGGCTTACCATGGCTGCCTGGAAACCGAATTCTGTTGCCCAGCTGTGTGTGATGTGTCACCATACCGGCAGGCGCTCAATATAAAAGGCAAAATGCGACCTTGTTCCTAAAGCACATGTGCTGTCTGCTGTGAATTGCTTGATTCACTGTGAAAGAGTCTCCCTTTTGTTCTCAGAAATGTATCATCTTAAATTTTACTCTCCCTTTTTATCCCCCCGCAGGTGCAAATGTTTCTATGCTCCCCCTATCTTCTCCGTCCCTGAGGTTATCGCAGATTAGAAGGCGAAAAAAACACACTTGTGATTACATGTTTTCCAAGCTCATGCAGTCCTCCCGCACTGATAGGCATTGAATGCATGGAGGCATTCAGTGGCAGAGTCCAGGAAAGCATTAAGTGAGTGCGATGAGAAGAGACAAGATGCAATGCTTAGGCTAATGGGGGAGCAAACGGACATGCTCAGGCGTCTGGTGGAGCTGCAGGAAAGCCAACAAGAGCACAGTCCACTGCTGCATCCACTGTACAACCGCCTGCCCTCCTCCCCAAGTTCCATATTCTCCTCACCCAGATGCCCAAAAACGCGTCGGGGGGAGGCTCCGGGCACCCAGCCACTCCAGTGCAGAGGATGGCCCAAGCAACAGAAGGCTGTCATTCAAACAGTTTTGATTTGTAGTGTGGCTACCATAAGCAATGTGGCCTTGTCCTTCCCTCCTCCCCCATTCCACCCTACCTCACCCAGGCTACCTTATCAGTTATCTCCCTTTTTTTTAATTAATAAAGAAACAATGCATGGTTTCAAAATAATAGTGACTTTATTTCCTTTGCCAGCTGTGATCGAAGGGGAGAGGGTGGTTGGCTTACAGGGAATTAAAATTAACAAAGGGGGTGGGTTTGCATCAAGGAGAAACACACACAACTGTCACCGTAGCCTGGCCAGTCATGAAACTGGTTTTCAAAGCCTCTCTGATGTGCAGCACGCCTACCTGTGCTCTTCTAATCACCCTGGTGTCTGGCTGTTCAAAATTGGCAGCCAAGCGATTAGCCTTAACCTCCCACCCCACCATAATCGTCTCCCCCTTACTCTCACAGATATTATGGAGCACACAGCAAGCAGTAATAACAATGGGAATATTGGTTGCGCTGAGGTCTAACCTAGTCAGCAAACAGCGCCAGTGAGCTTTTAAACGTCCAAAGGCACATTCTAACACCATTCTGCACTTGCTCAGCCTATAGTTGAACTGCTCCTTACTACTGTCCAGGGTGCCTGTGTATGGCTTCATGAGCCACGGGAGCAAGGGGTAGGCTGGGTCTCCAAGGATAACTATTGGCATTTCAACATCCCCAACAGTAATTTTCTGGTCTGGGAAGTAATTCCCTTCTTGCAGCTGCTCAAACAGCCCGGAGTTCCTAAAGATGCAAGCGTCATGCACCTTTCCCGGCCATCCCACGTTGATGTCGGTGAAACGTCCCTTGTGATCCACCAGTGCTTGCAGCACCATTGAGAAGTACTCCTTGCGGTTTATGTACTGGTTGGCAAGGTGGTCCGGTGCCAAGATACGGATATGTGTTCAGTCTGTCGCCCCACCACAGTTAGAGAAAGCCATCCACTATGACCTACACATTTCCCAGAGTCACTACCCTTGATAGCAGAACGTCAGTGATTGCATTGGCTACTTGAATCACAGCAGTTCCCACAGTAGATATGCCCACTCCAAACTGATTCCCATCTGACCGGTAGCAGTCAGGCGTTGCAAGCTTCCACAGGGCTATCGCCACTCGCTTCTCAACTGTCAGGACAGCTCTCATCTTGGTATTCCTGCACTTCAGGGAGGGGGAAAGCAACTCACAGAGTTCCAGGAAAGTGCCCTTACGCATGCGAAAGTTTCACAGCCACTGGGAATCATCCCATACCTGCAACACTATGCGGTCCCACCAGTCTGTGCTTATTTTCCGGGCCCAGAATCGGCGTTCCACTATATCAACGAGCCCCACTGCCGCCATGATGTCCCAATTGCCACATCCCATGCTTTCAGGAATGTCCTTGTCCATGTCCTCCTCACAATCGTCCTCATGCTGCTGTCTCTTAGCCAGGTTCTGCACATACTACAGTATAATGCGCGAGGTGTTTACAAT